CATTTCTGAAAAACAGTCTATTAGGAGCATGAAATATCTCAAATGCACACTTTTGACAGGTGGCAAGGTGGGAGAATTGAGATGCAGAAATACTGATGTTAGACCTTATAAATAATACTAATGATGTTATTTAAATTCTTGTGGGAAGGCAAGAGTAATTATACTGAGCTTCCTTGGAGTTGTAGAATGCCATTTTATCATTTGTACTTTTGACAGTAATCTAGAAAAACGCTTCTGAAGTTATTACTTTTTATTATGTCGGACCCTGCTGTACTAGCTGTTGTACAGGCAAGTAAGAAAAGGACAGTTTCCATTACAGAAGGTCTAATAGGCTAAGATGAATATGCAAGAAAATAATCTTTTAAGATAAATATACAGTCAGTTCTGGAAGAAGCATTATTATTTACATTGAAGTTACAGCTGGGAGGGAAAATTGCCATTAAATTAGAATGAAGGTGGACTTCTTCCTATTCCAGTTTAGAAACTGACGTTGTCTACACTAACATGCCTAAAAGTCAAGCATGTAGCCTAGCTACGCTGGAGAACCTGGACTAGGAATCAAAGTTGTCTAGGCTCCACTAGAAGCAATGTAGGAGATAGGTAGTTCAGCTCACCTGGCTGAGGACAGAATGGGTCAGCTCTGGAGATGCCTTCTTCCATTGACTGAAGCAGAAGCCTAGTTCTATTGCAAATTAAAACAAAAAAAGAAAACCCAAACTAGTCTGGGTGGCTAACTTCAAAAGGCAAGGTGTGGGCTAATTGTGTGGAGGCAGGAATTCTAGACAATATATAAGAAGTACTTATTGAAAAATCAAGAATATTTTTGCAAGTTAAAGAGGAAAAGACTCCATATTTCATTTACAAGTAATAGTAGTAATAAGTAATTCATGTTTTTAAGGGTAACTTCTTCCAAAATTTCAAGTTTAACTAACTAACTAGTATACGTTCTCACCATTCCAGTTTCCTTTTAGGACAGAGAGGAATATATCCAGTAAAAATACAAAGCAGTAGGAAATGAAAAAAGTCAATTTAAAAATCAATGCTCCCTGATTTTTTCTATCGACTCCTCTTAGAAATAACAGCCATAATTTTTATAACTGAAATTGATCATAAAAAAATCTCAGTGTGTTCAATTATTTATTTTATGCTTTTGAAAACACTTTTGGGTAATGGGTTTCACTTTTTCACCTTTCATATGCCTCATTCTTTCACACAGAAAAATAGAAACCATTCAAAAATGGGAGATGATAGCATTTTTTTTTGTTTTTTCATACTTGTGCTTATGAGTTGGTACTGTTCTCACAGATACACATGATGGCCTTAAAGCCAGAGTGAACACAATACACCACAAGAGGTCATTTTTAACAAACTGATTTCTATACAGAACTAAATGTTTATATCATATAAGGGCTTTGTAGAGATTTAAACCAGGAAGTTAATTTATTTTACATCAGATTTTAGAAAGCAAAGTATAAAAGGGAAGGTTTGGGAGCATTAAAACAACGATGGAATCAATTGGAATAGTCAATGAAAATGTAATTGGTCCCTAAATCCCAACATACATCACTTTCATGTGGCTATGTTAGAGATGTAGGATGTGAATGAGCAAAGAAATAAGTACTCTTGGTGATACAATGCAAAAGGAGAAATCAAATACAGACCATGACTCTGTTGACCTGTTGCACTGT